CGACTGTCTCCTGATTGTGAAGCCTTTGGTCATGGGGCCGAAGGCAACACCCTTTGTATTATGGGATGTCTGGAGCTCTGGCTGCTGTATTTGGGCCACCTGGGCCTGTTGGGTCTGTGTGTAGTAGTGGGAGTATGTGGGCTGAGGGGTTTCTGGGCCATATACTACATCACCAAGCTTCCCAAAAACGTGATTTAACACAAATGTTGATCTAAATCTTCCCGAAATCATAGAATACCGTCAAATGCAAGTCGATCAAACCAAAAATCACAGTAAGTGAGATTTTCGAACTGCTTGTCTTCTTCGCCAATGGCACATCCGAAAAATGCAGAAAAACTCGTATCGATTTCACGCTCGACTCTGATACCAATTGTTTTTCCCTTTGTTCAACAATCAAAATATCAAAATAGGATAGAGTAGAGAACAAACAACTTCGATTCAATACCAACAAAGATCTCGAATTACAGAATAGGGTATGAATGACGTTTTCTCACTTCTCTCTCTCTCTCACTAGAATGATGTATGCGCTGAATTTTTGAAAGAGGCTTTTTTGCTCATTCCCTTCAAGACACTATTTATATTGCTAGGGAATGAGTTGATGTGACCTAGGTATGATTGGGCTCCTTTATTGAGGTGGCCCAATTGCACACTTTACAACATTTCCTAATAAGGATATGGATGGACTCGGGCCGGGCCAACCGGCCCGGAACCAGACCGGTCCGCTACTGTGCGGGCCCGGACCGGCCCGCTACTGTGCGGGCTCGGACCGGCCCGGTGAACCGGTTAGTGCCCGGTTCGGGCCACCCGGCCCGGTGAGATAGCGGTTCGGGCCCGGGCCTGCTATATAGTGAACCGGCCCGGTCCGGGCCTCAACGATCAATTTTTTTTTTTAAATTGTTAAAGGCTCTATAGCCATTGGGAGAGCTCCCAAATGGCTCTATAGCCGTTGGGAGCATAGGAGGGGGGGTATGGGGGTTAGGGGGGTGGGGTGGGGTGGGGGTGGGTGGGGTATACAAAAAAACCTATTTATACTCCTATTTTCTATACATTTTTTACACCTCTTCTTCTACAACTCTTCCTACTCTCTAAATTCTCTATTCTCTGAATCTCTCATATTCAATCATCTTCATTCTTCATCTTCTCCAAATTCTTTTTACATATATATAATTTATATAATTATTATATCTACTTATATATTAATTATCTACTTATAAATATATACTTATACACATTCATATTATAATTCTTTACACATTATATTATATATACTATATATAGTTATACACTATATTATATATTACTTATAATATATTTACACATTATATACTATATATACTTATACTCATTCATATAGACTTATACACATTCATACATTTTATAAAAGTAGTTAATTGTTAGACTTCTCGTTTATCTATTAAATTAGTTAAACTAGTTACTTATTTAATTGCTACATTTCTCATTAAAGTAAAAAAAGTAGTATATTTTTACATTTGTCATATTAATATTAGTTAAAGTACTTAATTGTTTCATTTGTCATATTAATATTAGTTAAAGTAGTTAATTGTTACATTTGTCATATTAATATTAGTTAAACTACTTAATTGTTACATTTCTCATATTAATATTAGTTAATTGCTACAATGCTCATTAAAGTAAAAAGATGTAGTTAATTTTTACATTTCTCATATTAGGATGTCTAACTTACAACTTAGAAAGGTGCTAATGGCCTGAAATACATTTGAAGCCCATATTAAATATCTAGACAAAATAGCTACACAAATACAAAGATATATAACTAGATTGGACACCATACAAAGTTCCAACAGAAGTTTTTGATGAAAGTTTTTGGGCATGTTCTTTTTCAAGTTTGATTTATCCACAACAAGTTTCAGCTAAAGATTCAATCGGTAAGGCAGTCAAATAAGTTTTGGAAGATAATTGCGCCAAAATATACATATAAAAACGTAGTTATCTTCCAAAATTTATTTGACTGCCTTCTCAATTGAATATTTAGCTGAAACTTTTTGAGGATACACTAGACTTGATGTGGAACATACCCAAAAACTTTCATCAAAAAATTCCACCGGGAAGATTCTCTGATAGGCAAGTTCGACGGGGCTTCCCGTCACAACTACCTAAGGTGATCTTTTTCCTATATATATATATATGTAGGGAGTGGTTCCGGTAAGAACGGATCTTAGGAGAGAAATGAGAACGAATCTGGACCGTTGGATTGAATTATGTGGAACTGAATTGTGCATTTGGTGAAACCGAAATGTGCATTAGATGATATTGAAATGTGCAGAATTAAAATTTAAACTCACATGTGTATTAGGTGAAACTGAAATGTGCAGAATAAAAGGTACAAAAATAACATCACATCGTACCTTTTATTCTGCACATTTTAGTTTCATCTAATGCATATTTCAAATTCACCTAATGCACAATTTAGTTTCACATAATGTCACTACATTGTACCATTTGTGCTGCATATTTCAATTTCACCTAATACACATTACAGCTTCATCTAATGCACATTAAATTTCTGATAAAGCAAATCTAACGGTCCAGATTCATTCTCATTTTTCTCATAAGATCATGTTCTTATTTGAACCAAAACATATATGTGTGTGTGTGTATATATATATATATATATAGAGAGAGAGAGAGAGAGAGAGAGAGAGAGAAATTCTCAGGTCCAGTAGCCTCCGGTCCGAACACCGTCCGAACACCGCCGTTTGGGGCGGTTCCCGGTAGAATTTTTTGATGAAATTTTTTGAGCATGTTCCTCATCAATTCCAGTTTATCCATACCAACTTTCAGCTCAAAATTCGATCTGGAAGGCAGTCAAATAATTTGATGAAGTTAACTGCGCAAAATTATACATAGAAAAACGCAGTTAACTTCAACGAATTATTTGAGTGCCTTCCCGATCGATATTTAAGCTGAACTTTTGTATGGATAAACTAGACTTGATAAGGAGCATGCTCTAAAAATTTCATCAAAAAATTCTACCGGGAAGCGCCCCGAACGATGGCGTTCGGACGGCGTTCGGACAGAAAGCTGCTGGACAGGAGAATGACTATATATATATGGGAGGGTTCAAATACAAAGAGATCTAATGGCTCAAAATGAGCCAAAAGTAAACTAAATTTGATCAAAAACGCGATGGCAATTTCTTAATTAAAATGAAGTTTTTGCCATCGCGAAAAAGTGCAACAGAAACACGCAAAAGTGCAACGCGGTGAAGAAAAAGTGTAATTGTTCGCACTTTTGGTTCTCCCGTGCAAAGTGCGAACAATTGCACTTTTGGTTCATATATATATATAGGGAGTGAATCAGGTGAGAAGTGCTTTTAGGCTGAGAACTGCCAAGTTTAACTAATAGACTAAAAACATGAACTTTTAATCAATAAATCATAACTTATAGACCCCGTCGAAAATAATTACGAAAATGCCACCGCAAAAAAATAAGCCTGAAAACCTTGAAATTTTTTGGACGCGGTGGTATTTTCGTAATTATGATGGAGAGCTTTATAAGTTATGATTTATTGGTTATAAGTTCATATATTCAGTCTATAAGTTTACTGCGTTGCAAGATCAGATGCAAATCCAAGGGCTGAGATTGATTCTCACTTCTCATTTTAAGAGAGACTTCTCACCTGATCTTTTCTCTCTCTCTCTCTCTCTCTCTCTCTCTATATATATATATATATATATATATATATATATATATATATATATAAGTTTTGGTTCAAATAAGAACATGATCTTAGGAGAGAAATGAGAATGAATTTGGACCGTTAGATTTGCTTTAAGTGAAATTCAATGTGCATTAGATGAAACTGTAATGTGCATTAGGTGAAATTGAAATGTGCAACACAAAGCGTATGATACAATGTCATTAAGTGAAGCTGAATTGTGCATTAGGTGAAATTGAAATGTGCACTAGGTGAAACTGAAATGTGCAGAATAAAAATTACGATGTGATGTTATTTTTGTACATTTTATTCCGCACATTCCAGTTTCACCAAATGCACAATTGGGTTTAAATTTTTATTCTGCACATTTCAATATCATCTAATGCACATTTCAGTTTCACCAAATGCACAATTCAGTTCCACATAATACAATCTAACAGTCCAGAATCATTCTCATTTCTCTCCTGGAAGTCCGTTCTTACCGGAACCGCTATATATATATATATATATATATATATATATATATATATATATATATATATATATATATATATATATATATATATATATATATATATATATATATATATATATATATATATATATATATATATATATATATATATGACAAATGTTCAGGTCCGGAATTCCGGACCATGGCTTTTTTCGATGAAATTTTTATGACATGTTCTTCATCAAGTCTAGTTTATCCACAAAAAATGTTAGCTGAAAACTCAATCTGGAAGGTCGTCAAATGATTTTTGGAAGTTAACTGCGTTTTATATGTATTTTATTGCGCAGTTAACTTCAAAACATCATTTGACAACCTTCCGGATTTATTTTTTAGCTGAATTGTTTTTTGGTTAAACTAGACTTGATGAACAACATGCCATAAAAATTTCATCATAAAAAACTATCGGGAAGGGCTCCAAAAGCCGTCGGCCGGACGGCGGTTCCGGTCCGGAAGCCCTGACCGGAACACAATATATATATATATATATATATATATATATATATATATATATATATAGAGAGAGAGAGAGAGAGAGAGAGAGAGAGAGAGAGTGGTTCCAATGAGAACAATCCTTGTTGTGAGAAATAAGTGACTCTCATTGGAACCACTACATATATATATACTAGATGATGTAGCCGTGCAATGCACGGGGAATATCTAGAGTAAAATAGTACTCCGTAGGTTATTTAAAATTATATTTTATACAAAAGAAAAAATGGTATCGTAAAATGTTATAACTGTGATTGCATAATGTTAGTTTACGCAAAACGAATAAGTAGGTCATATGAAGAATTGTAAATAAAGTTAACAAAAATACGTGTCGTAAGAATAAATTGTACATGACAATTAAAACGTCATGATAGTACAATGTGGAGTGTTTATTTTGTTGATCATCCCTAGGTTTTGTGAAATTGGAAAATCTCTTTTTAGTGGTACGTGCACAAAAAATATCATAAGTTATGTAAAATTTCTTTATAGATTACACCACTAGTAGTCATCACTACACACCTCTTAAGATTGCATATTAGAATTTTCTATTTTCTTCTTGAGGGGACCCTTGAAATGGAAAATTACATTAGTCTCTGCGTAAGATAACAGTATTTGTAAGATATATGTCTATTTTATGTAAAGATTGCCCGTAGTTTTTGTTGACCATCATGACAAATGAAATGATGACTCGGAGTGGCCTACTATACATTGATTGAAACTTGACAGAACTTTTACAATCTTACGTGCCCAAAGATAACCTTGGGATCAAAACTTTTGCCCAATATGTTTTCGAAATACTAGTATAACTTTTGCCTTCAAAACATTTTACTCATCCGAAAAACAATGATGCAAGTCTCATTACATACTCCAGAAGATTGATCAATGTTTCTCATTAGCATAATATATAGGAACTCCAATCAATTTAATTACGTTGAGTACTGAGGCGCCAATTTCGAGAGATGCTTAAAATGAGGCGCAAGATCTAATTTCATAGTAAAATATAGTTTTTAAGTATTAAAAGACAAAAAATTACACTAATATTACTCCTGAAAAAGTTATGGACAAAAATGTAACTTAGTAACCATTAGTTACTATAATTGTGTTCAAAGTTTATATCGTAGTAACTACTAATTGTTACCAAGTCACATTTTTTATCCATGACTTTTTTATTAGTAATACTTTAGGAAAAACTTCATTGAAAATTACTTCCGTTGATAGTTGTTATAAAATTTACTTCAAAATTTTGGTAGATAAAAGTTTTCCGCACTTTTTTATTCCAGATAAATCACATCAACTTTCTTAATTGTAATACATTGACATTTCATTGTAGTTAAAGATTACATTTTCAAAGCTGAAAGAAATCAAATCCTACTAATTAAGAAATTGGTTTCACAAGGAGGTCTATATTAATATTAACTTTTACTTCAAAGTATTAGATTGAAGTATAGAATACCCACAGTGGTAACAAAAAATAAACAATGAACTACAGTTTAAGTTCTAATTATAATCGGCTGAAATATATATACACTTGAATGTAATACTTTTATCATTTAAATTAATTATTATAAATACTAATTTCACTGTAGTTATAAGCATTAAGTTCAAAATATGAATTTTCAGAAATTAAAATGAGAGATATTTCAATCCGTATAGATAAAAATAACATGTTTATTAAAGTGCATACACATAAAGTATTGATCAGGTATTGTGTAGTATATATAGTTGGAATGTACAGAAAAAACTTAATGCTTTCAAGGATTAAGAACATGCACTTACCCAAGAAGCATTTTGCACTTTACATATCTTTTTTCATTTAATATAATATTTAATTTGAACCTTTTATAACCTTGACATGCACTATAAGCATGCATGTAGTTGTGCATATACATTTTTTAAATAACCTGATATGATGAAGCTTAGAGTCATCTGATAATGAGACAGCGTCAGCTTTACATGAAGGTACCAGTCCAGGAATTTCCATGTGTAAGAGTTCCTGGGTGGAGTAATTGGATTTCACTGGCTCACCTTCTTTTCCTCTATTAGTCTTGGTAGTAATTGAGTTGTTATCTGCTATTCTAGGATCACTTGCTGGTTCTTGAGAAGTCCCAGCTTCTGAGGCAGGCAGAAGTGTATGTGGTTGCTCCATTATAATCTCTTCAACATCAGTGTCTGAATCCATATTTAGCGGAGCAGCTGCCCTTTCTTTTTCGCTTGTGGCTTTCAATGAGTTATCTGTTGTAATCAGTTGTCCTTTTCCTTTCTCCTCTGCAGTATATTTGGTAGATCCATGTATGTTAATATTCTGTGAAGCACTGGGTTTAACAACCCATCTGTCTTTGTGTTGTGAGGTTTCTTTAGATTGTTCCCTTTTAGGACATTTAGCCTCCAAATGTCCTAAATGCAGACAATGAACACAGTACATTGGTCTGTTTTCATAGCATACTGATTGAGAAAACCCAGAGGCTCCGCAGTTGATCCAAATTTTATTTGGCATCTCCTTTGTGAGATCAAGCTCCACACAAATGCGAGCTATAGGTCTTGAAAGATTACCCGTAACTATGTCTAGTTTGAGAGGGGTACCAATTAGGTTAACAATTTCAAACAGAGCCCTTTTATTGTGTAAATGTATACGTAATTCCTCAAATGCGATCCAAACGGGAACTACAGGGGATTCCACGTTTGGGCGAAAGTCAGGGGTCCATTTAGTCACCCTCATTGTGTACCCAAATATGTTCCAAGCTTGACGATTCCAACACCGTAGGTAATATAATCTTCCTCCATATGAAACTTGATTAGAACATGTTTCTTTTCTAAAAGACCCAAATGAAATGTACCTTTAAATCCAATCAGTTCAAAAGCCTTACGCAGATTTTCCATACTTGGCCTTCCCTTTGTAAAAATAACTGATCAGAGATCTCTTGTGGCCCTCAGCAAGGGTTTGGATATCCTTGTCCGAGAAGGTTATCGCTGACATTCTTTTAAAGCGTGAATGATTCGCTGATATGGAAACCTACAAACGATTGGCTACTACATCTGCAAAAGTTTTGGATGACTAAGGGAGGATTGGCCGGTGGTGGCTGCGCTGCCGTAATGTGCGATGGATCTGTCATAGCGTAAGCCCTCTAGCCCTAGGAGGTTAATCAAGTCTATTCATAAAAGTTAAAAATATACACTTACAAAGTCAGTTATCATCAATGATTTATTCATTGTATTATACTCTGTATTAAATGATAGTTATGGAATGCATATTTTGCACTAGTATATAATATAATCGGGTATTTGATGATATATGAGATGTGATTGGTGTATTATTTCAATTACTTGTCATTTAGGAACGTCAATTATTTCATAAAGTAGGTGTGGGAACCTTTATACTCCATATGAGATATTCCAAAGAGACAAGTGAGATTCTTGAGGTGTATATGCGCATATGAACTCTGTTATTGTATTGATTTTCACCTCTATTGTGATGGAAATCCTGGAATCTTGTGGTGTTGTAGGTGAGATAAGTATTTGATATTATTCCGGTTTTGGAAAACTTATTCAGTTTTTCATTCAAGGTTTGCCATGGTTGTGTAATAATCCAATTGTCAAATAAGTCCATGTACTTTTATAAAAATGAGTCATCATACTTTTAACTTCTAAGTGAATCAACAAGTCCACAAAGTGTTGATAACATTCAAATTAGCTTTTCCATAGGTAATTAGTCAGTGACTCCGTTACTCGCGCTTACTTGGAAATCTTGTTGCTTGTGATTACTGTTTTCTATTTTTTAATTTTCTTTCTATGTCCCTATCATTCTGCTGGGCTCCTTTGACTTGTTCACACTTTCATGGTAGTATATTGAATATTGGTATCCTATAAAAGATAATAAAAAGTTATGAATTTTGATATATTTTTTATAATAATTTGAATACAAATAAAAAGTTAGATCACTTTTTTAAAAATTAGGGTTTTTTTGGGTCCCATGATTGGCTCTTCTCCACTGTTGTCCTGCCCAACATGCTTCTTCGCCGTTCACGTAAGTGGCCCATGAGTGTTAACTTGAATTAGTTCAACATTACTTTGGGAAATAGTTTTAACCCAACATGAGTTTGGTAAATAATTTTGAGAAAATTATCAGAAATATTACTAAAACACAACCTCTTTCCCAATCTATGAGTCAGTCGGTTTTTTCCTTACACTACCATCCCTATGGTGTACATGGTGCGTATTTTTTTTATTTCCACACATGCCCTCTGTTTTAATTATGAGAGAGTTATTTTACCCTATTTTTGTGGGAGACATATCCGTTATGAAAGGAAACAGCGGATACATGCATGACTTGTTATTTGAATGATATTCCTATAATTAAGGATACTTTTATGTAGGTAACTGCTCCCTTGTTTTACTCTCCCCCTCTCCAAAGTCACGATAACTCCGTGTTCGACACCTTTCTACGTGTAGCCATGGAGTCCAGTCCAAAAAAATCACCAGAAATGTGGATATTGGTTAGGTTTGACGGAAAATGGGTAACAAATACTCTATTTTCTAGTCTTCACGTTTTCGGCATTATAATACCGGTAAATTATACTTTCTCTTTTCATCGTTCGAGTTTGTTTTCTGTTATGGGGGGAAATTACGTAGGGAAGAATATTGAGATTTCATACGTGTTCGCTTCTTGCCCTCCTCCAGTCATGGTGTGTGATGACAACACTGTTGGACAAAATAATCTATTTTAGGCACATTACAATTTTAGGCTGTAAATGAAATAATGACAACGTAGTAACTGCAAAGACAGTAAGTAGAAGACAGTGTAATAATGAACAATAAATTATTTAAAAATGGGGGGGGGGGGGATATTAATCCACAAAAATCACAATAAAAATTATATTTGTGAGAGTATTAACTCTTAGAGAGAAGGGAGAGCTAGAGAGAGAAGTGCAATAAATGTATTTGTCAACCTCTTACAACTACTCACAATAGGAGTATTTATAGGGAAAATATGGGCTGGACTTTCAAGCCTTGGGCTTGGGAGACCCATTACAATATAAGGCCTCTAATGGGCTAGATACAAGAATTTGACTAAGTATAGAAACTGTTCCTGCGGGATCTATCTGGCCGAAGGAGGCACTAGCCGACGGAGGCACCGGCCGCCGGAGGACAAGTCTTCTCCTTGGCTTCTGGATCGTATTCTGGATTGACTCTTCTTTTGCCAATGGGGTGCCATCTGGCCGACGGAGGGCCCACTGGATGACATGTGTGCTCCTCTTATTCTCTTGAGTATGTGGGTCATGGGGTCTGGACGCATATACTCCATCAGGGGTCCCCCACTCTCTGAGCTGAGATGCAGATGAAGTGAAAGGGAGTAGATTCTTGTTGCCTTGATGTTTCGGCCGACGTGGGACCGCTGTGGCTATTCTTTGCGTTTGGCCGTTGTGTGGCAACACTGGTTCTTCTTTGTTGAAGTTATAAGTGTTTTGTTCACTCAGCTGTTGTGGAGCCTTTGTTTCTATGTCGTTGACGATGTGTACCCTTATGCTTTGAGGACGATGAGTGTGACCCCTGAGGACGTCACGCGTGCTTTGGCCGCTGTGGTGTTCTCCTATCTTGGCCGGAGGTGGGACATGTAGGCTGAAGACGTTGTCATAGCGTCGGCGTTGGTTTGTTTCCCTTCGCAGTTTTTGGTTACCTTGAGCAACCGAGGAGACACCGTAATTGTTTTTGGTGCTCCAGGCCAAAGAGGGACCATCCGTGATTTGGTAGTTTGATTCGTAGCCTGGACGATGTAGGCCCTTACCCAGTGGACGTTGCGCGTCCATGGTTTTTGAGGATGATGAATGTCCTGTCTTTGTGCTTTTGACTTTAACTAAAGGTGGACGTTCATGGCGTCCTTGTCCTTTTGTTTTTTTTTTGAACTTGTTTATCTTGGGATCTTTTTGGAGCCTGTGGAGGCCGATACCCCCAGTCCCCCTTATGTGCTTATATTTTACACACTTTTTAGGCTTAGTTTGTTGATAATTTTAGTTATTAAAGTTGTACTTTTGTACATATTTTTATTATGTGTCGTTAATTTATATTAGTGTGGTCCTATGCGTGTATTTTGTATTTTCAGGTACTTTTGATGTTATTTGGATACAATTAGTGTGAAAAAATGAAGAAAATAAAAGTTCAAGTTGAAGGATAACAAAAATGGAATTTCTTTCAAAGCAAATAAGGAGTAAATTGGAGAAAAGTAGCAAAAAGTGATAAAGATGGGATTGGGGTTTGAACACTGGTCACTTAGACAAGGAAGGAGATCCTCAACCAGTGAGTTACATGAAGCAAGTTGAATCTTTATGTTGGAAATTCGTTTATATTACTTCATCCCAACAATGAAAAATGGAACAAAAGAAAGAGGGCAAGTTTTGAACCCACAACATCAAAGCCAGAAACCTCCCCGTAACCGTTGCACTGCTATGCGTTGTTGGAACATTATTGCGCTTTGCTGTACATAAACTTATGTGTTCCGTAAATTCCAGCAATTAATCATTAATCACCTTATCATTATATTGCCTTAATCCTTCTTCCACCAGAGAAAACTTTGAAACAACCTCTCTCTAAACATCCCATAAACATTTCCTCCTCCTTCTATCTTCATTTCTCAACCCCAAATCATCAACTCATCTTCAACCACAACTAATCACTTTCTCATCCAAGATTAAGTCAAGATTAGCATCAAAGCTCCAAGGATTGTCATCTACCACAAGTTTGATCTTCCTTATCTCATTAAATCTTGTACTTTTATCATGGATTCATCTATTTCTATGCTTCCCAACATGTATAGCTAAATAAATTTGGGGCTAGAAATTGGTTAATTAATTATTCTTATCATGTTTTCATTTGTATTGATTTTAATTGTTAAGTTTGTTCTATTTAGATTTTTGTATCCAGAAAATTAATTATGTTGTGTTTGTGATATATATTATGTGTACTCAATCATAAACATATTATTTGTTAAATACACACATGAACACTTTCTGAACACACCGTTAAACTTCTTTTACCTTGTCCCGGATTGAAGTTTTACGGGAGAATTTAATTATTTAATTATATTATTTACACCACGGGGTTGGGTAAATAATATAATTAATAATTAAGGTTGTCGTTGCACTTAAACTACTAGTCTCGTTTTGGCCATCACTAGGAAATGTTGACTAGTTACTTATTTTAGGTGACTTGAGTTGGGTTCTAAAATAATCTACAACTTCTCACAATCTATCTAAGAATAAAATTAGCAATTATGTCTTTCAAATGAGAATTGAACAATTAGTTACCAATTTCTACCCCTACCTTCTATTGGTTGAACTTTGTGTTGATAAAACTCTCTTATTTTAATCACTTTTATTTCATTATTTTTGCAAGCAACCAAAAATCAAAAGAAACGCATTCCCAACTTTAATCCTTAGTTTGTGCTTAATTATTTTATTTCCCTCTTCTCTGTGGTTCGACACCCTACTTCCTTGGGTAAACAAATAGTTGTGTGCCCATTATATGCTACACACCACCCTCACTCCTTGAGGCACATGTAATGAAGTGAAAAGGAGTAGAGTAATAAATGTCTTCAATAGGGGGCCGAGGGTCGACACCTTTTGATCCACTATGGGGAAATGTCTTGTTAAAACCTCATTAGGAAAAACCCTATGGAAAATAACCCTAATGAGGGAAAAAGAATACACCAGATGCTCCCATAATGAAGCAAAAGTTGCGAACCCTTCAGCCTGGGTGTGGAGCTGCAGCGGTGTCCGTCTATTGATGAGGACGACGACGCTGATGAGTCGGTCTAAATATGAGGACGAGGTGATGGATGCCTATCTGAACATGAGGACGAGGCGGTGGACGTCTGTCTCAATATGAGGACAACGGTGGTGATGAGTCGGTCCGAATATGAGGACGAGGTGATGGATGCCTGTCTGAACATGAGGACGAGGCGGTGGACGCCTGTCAGAATATGAGGGCGACAGTGGTGATGAGCCGATCCGAATATGAGGACGAGGCGATGGATGCCTGTCTGAACATGAGGACGAGGCGGCAGCCGCCTGTCTCAATATGAGGACGACGGTGGTGATGAGTTGTGCATCATATAAAGGCGACGGTCGCTATCCAGGAAGGGAACGGCGAGCTCGATCGCTAGCTCAAGATGCTCGGCGTTGGGGAAGCTGGTCTTGAGATTGATAATCATGCCGAGGTCGAGGGGCCGGTCGTGATGTGAGGACGACGACGATGAGTAGCCAGTCCAATGAATGATGACGAGGCGATGGTGAATCCGATCATCATATAAAGGCGACGGTCGCTTATCCACGAAGGGAATAGCGAGCCCGGTCGCTAGCTCAAGACGTTCGACGGCTGGGGAAGCCGGTCTTGAGATATAGAATCACGCGGAGCCCGAGGGGCCGTTTGTGATCTGAGGACGACGGCAGTGATGGGTCGTTCGTCATATAAAGGCGATGGTCCCCATCCTGAAAGGGGAGAGCCTGATCGCTAGCTCAAGACATTCGGTGTTGGGGAAGCCGGTCTTGAGATATAGGATCACGC